CGGGGCTCTGCAGGGAAAGAAAGAAGCAACTTCCTGCTTCTTTTGGCAGCAAACCCTGACCAAGTCACCAGGTGGTGCTGTTCGTCTTCAACAGGCCCTGCATGCATGTATTGTACTGTCCATTCAGAAGTTTTTACCTTCAAGCTTTTGAGAAATGTGGAGGCAGTTTCAGCATTCCCTTTAATGTAAAAGGAAACCATTCCCGGGCAGCCTGTGCACTGACGCTTCACCAGCTCAAATTGCGGGTGTGATGGCAAACCTGAAATGAGCCACACGTTTTACAGAAGGCTTGACTTCTAGTTTTATTTGAACACACACATACACATGTACACATGAATATGCACACACAGACACACATACAAACAGGCTAACTAAAGATGCAAATAAAACAGGCATTCATTGGCCAGCAGAAATACCTTAAGTCGTTCCGTTCCACAAGCCAATCTGGCAGAATTAAAAGTAAGCAAGGGTTCTGATTACAAGCTTAATATCCTTGGGTTTGGGGTTGGTAATAGGTGGTCTTTTTCACACATTCTACACAAGCTTTCCTTTCCTACACACTCACAGTGGAGTGAGGCCATCTTTCTGGCCTGACTCCTGACACTGTGCTCCCTTCTTGACGCTACCCCTCAGCATCCCATACATTCGCCAACTAGCAGCCACCCCTTTTTTTTATAGATATACCCAGTGAAGGCACAGGGGGCAGAAGTGTCCCCATGGGGGGGGGGTTCAGAGCCAGAGAGGCAGCCCAATCTCATTTTCTAAATACAAACGCCTTACACTAAGATCAGGTATAAAAGGCATTACCTTGGAGTCATGTGTGTTACCAAGGTAAGAAAAAATGCTGGAATAATTATGGGTTAGAAAGGCCTATGGGGCAGAAGTGTCCCCATGGGGGGGGGGTTCAGAGCCAGAGAGGCAGCCCAATCTCATTTTCTAAATACAAACGCCTTACACTAAGATCAGGTATAAAAGGCATTACCTTGGAGTCATGTGTGTTACCAAGGTAAGAAAAAATGCTGGAATAATTATGGGTTAGAAAGGCCTATGGCACAGAAAAGGGCATGGAAGACACCATTCACAAGCCTTCATCTGCACCCAAAGCTGGCTGCAGATGAGGGCTTGGCCACTGACATATGTAGCTCAAGGCTTGAACCTAATTGCCCTGGCCAGCTCAATCAATTGCTGAATGGAAAGTTAGCCTATCATGTAAATGCAGTTAATTCAATGGGTCTAACCTCGTTAGCACTAGTAACTGGATTTATATACACACACCCAAGCTGAGCTTAGAAATGACTGCTTCTCATTGTTTTTTTAAAAAATGAAGACAGGACGGACCCAAGTCAGCCTCCCTCTCCCTTCTTTTTTGGTTCCGGATTACTTTAGCAACTGTTAACTCACATACCAGGGAAGATAACTTTTTCCACTCTAGGATTTGATTCGAGGAACTGGGCAACAGCTAGGGCATTCTGGAAATGTTGTTTCATGCGGATTGCCAATGTCTTTAGACCACGATTGCAAAGATAACACTCGAATGGTGATGGAACTGCTCCAATGGCTGCAAAGCAAAGCACAGAAATCACCCTCTTCACTAAATGGCCAAGTCAAGTATAAACAGGATCTGAACATGACATTTCTGCATCACTGTCAAGATATATCCAGATCTCCAGAAGAAGAACAAAATAGCAAACCTAAGCAAAGGCTTAATTCAGAAAAGTAAGTTATAGCATTGTGGTGGTGGTATTCTGAGACCAACCCACCTGGATCTAATCTAGGAAAACAGCACAGCAACTACCCGTCACTCCATATGCAAGAATATTCTTCAGTCATAATTGTGGTGCACAAGCCTCCCTAAGGACCGCTTTGCGCTCAGTCAGAGAGTTCCACAGGCCACTTACCTACCACCTTTGCACTGAGGCAAGTCCTAAGACCTCAGCAGTGCATAGCGTAAGTACCTTGAACAAGTCTGACCTTAAACAAGTACTTTACTTCATGCAGCACTCTGCAAATACTGAAACATGGGGTTTGTAATTCTTTAGAATTCACAACAGCTCAGTTAGGTAGGACTCTTAAAGATAGCTAGTTTGTGACCCTCTCCACTCTCCTGGATTTAGCCAGACCCTGCTGTTCAGGAGACCAGTCCTTTGTAAGAATTTTTATAATTATTTTTTATTAGAAAAATAGTTTCATAGAATCAGTTTATATTGGTCAAGCTTTAGCATAAAGTACATGTTTAAAGATTACAGTTAAATAAAATAACTAATCCTCATTAAAATAAGAAACTCTACTAAACTGGGCTAAGGTCGGCAAACCGCACCTACTTCTGGGCAATTATATACTCATCCAAATACATAACATATTCCAGAAAGAATCATCATCTCTCAGATCTTTCAGAAATCAGTTATCTTGTAGCTAAGCTCTAAAACCCACTTCTCCTTCCACCTTTTTCTACATTCTCAAACTCCTCCCTTCTTCTTGACGCTTCATGGCTGTTAACCAGTTAGCCTCAAGGGGACGGAACACCTTCCTCCACCCTCAATTCCCATGAAGATCCAGGTGTATTATCTCTTCTCCAATTAGCTCAGAATGTTGAGTCTTTTCGGGGGCCTCTTTGTTTGACCTTCAGCTTATCACGAATCATGCTGTACCAGTCTTCAGAAAAACACTCTCACACCACTTAGAAATGGAGTCAGACAGGTTCTTCACACAGAACCTGTCTGACTCCATTTTACATTTCTCTGACTACATATCCCACACTGCTTCAGCTCCATCACAATAATCATCACAGGTTACATTTTAATCTCCCTTTCCCCTGAAAGAACCTTAAGCTAGCTATGTGGTTCTCTTTCTTCCACCTCCAACTTCCACCGTAGCCACTAAGGTGTTTTTTTAAATCCTCATAGAAACACAGGTTTGCCCATGACATAAGACCAAAAGCAAATCCAAAGATCTGAAAAGTTCTTTTTTGACTCTGAGAACCCTCTAGCCAATAAGGACATTAGTCATGATTGCTGGAGGATTCTGAGATTTATGGGTCAAACAAATACACTTGCCATACTCCAATCATACCATTAAAAAAGGATTAATTAAGCAACAGCTCTATAACTGGGATGTTGAAAAAGACAGCTTAAAATTTCAGAATTTAAACAGTTTATATGTTTAACTCACCATACTGTAAGAATCTAAGTTTCTCATGGAGAGCATCATCATTTATTGAAACTAGCCCCATTACAACATCACTGTGACCTGAAAACACAAAGAGGCCAATGAGGAAGAAAATGGCTGTTTGCTTACAAACTCTTTTTGTATTTGTTCTGTTCTTATGCCTCTACATTACTTATGCCATAATGTTAGATAAAACTGAAATAAAATTGTTAGTTTTTTAAACTGCTGCAATGTTTTTTTCTTTTTCCCTCCCTGACTCCTTTTCTTTGGTCAACATGCTGAAAGAAACTAACACAGCTGCTTCTTTAGAAATAAGTTTTAAAATTTGGCATCATATGTGAGCTGGTTAGCTCAGTGGATTAGAGCACCTGGTTATTGAACCAAGAGCTGGGAGTTTGAATCCCCAGGGTGTCTCCCAAGAGAGGAGCCACATATCAATTGGTGCATGAGTAGCTGCTGGGGTTACATACCTTTTCACCTGTGAGGTTTCTGACAAAGCGTTTTCCCAGACCATCCACAAAAGAAAGAACCAACCAACCAACCAACAAACTGTTTTCTGAGTGTTTTACACCTGCAAAACCCTTGAAAGCTCACCATAATTCAGAAAAAAATTGACATTATTATGTATGTGCTTTATGTTAGCCCTTCCCCACCTTGTGCCCTTCAGAGGCTAACTGGGGTTTTTCCAACGTTTGGCCAAAGATGGCCATAGGTCTGGACATCTGGAAGGAAAAGCCTGTGTATGCTGGCCTCTATGTCCTGAGACTTTCCAGAAGTTTTGAAACTCTGCACAATCTGGGTCCACTCCCCACCCCATATTGTACATTTCTATGTATACAGTGGTGCTCCGCATAGCGAGGTTAATCCGTTCCGGATTAACCTTCGCTATGGGGAAACTTCGCTAAATGGAACAGAGAAACCCAAATGGGTCCAAAACTCACCGTTCTGCGATGTTCCCTCATGTTCCGGTGGCCATTTTGGGTGTTCCGGTGGCCATTTTGGGTGTTCCGGTGGCCATTTTGGGTGTTCTGGCGGCCATATTGGGTGTTCCGGCGACCATTTTGGAACCGCCAAACAGCTGTTCCCCCATCGCAATGTGATAAAACATCGGTATGCGATCGCATTAGCGATCGCAAAATCCGCATCGCTATGCGGATTCATCGTTAAATAGTGCGCTCGTTATGCGAGGCACCACAGTATGTCTATATATTCTGGCTAAGAATTAAACCTTATTTTGTCTAGAGGGATTTACTCCCTAACAAGTACATTTAGGGCTATCAACTCACTGTACAAAAGAAGATCAAGGATGAATGACTGTATATTCCTAATAACAAATATTGTAAACACCTTTTAAGATTTCGTTCTATCTGCTAAGTAATTACATAAACCTTTTTCTTGCAAATGTCAATTAACGCATAGACACTAGGGTGGGACCGAGGACATGCATGACTTTAGGGCAAGGTCAATAATCTTTTTGTACATATTCTGGACACTAATCTTCCTGTGTACATGTCTTATGGTGGGAGAAAGGGAAGGGAATTATATGTTTATGAATGTCACTGGAAAAACAATTTTTCTTTTTTCAAATTGGCATGAAGAAAATAAACATTTAAAAGTAAAAGGAATAATATACTGCAAGATGTAAAGGAACTTTGAATGCTGGTTACAATATCAGCATAAGTGCATATATTTTATATATTAGACACTTACCATTCATATATTTAGTTGCTGAGCACATACAGATGTCTGCTCCTAAAGCCAAAGGTCTCTATCAGAGAGAAAAATAACACATGTCAAGCTGGAAAGGACTCATTTTGTTTTCCATTGACAGAAACAACAGGAATTATAGAATGGCTGAAATCTTGTTGTGTAATGTAAACAAGTTTATAATTTTCAATCTGTTCCTCACCAGTAAATAAAGAGCCCCTACTATGATTCTCAGGGTTGTGTGTACACACTTGTTTGATGTGTGTGCAAGAGCACCCCTGAGAATCCTACTGGGAGCTTTTTATTTATCAATGAGGAATGGAATGCAACTTACGGCTTTGCTTATGTCATACAACAGGATTTTGGCTCATGGGTCCTAAGGAATTTTATGCATCCCTGGAAATCCCAGTATGACAGCAATTTCTGCTGTGAAGAGGTTACATGAGTGGGGTATATAGGAAAGCCTCCATAAGTCTCACTAACACTTTCCTAGCTGTAGCTAATGCACATAAGCAATAAAAAATCTTGCCTTAAGGTGGAGCAGAGAAATAGAGTATGGGATGCAGAGGGGGAAAGGAGGAACCACATTCTTGGAACAAAACAAGGGGGAACCAAATTCTTATGATGGAATCCAGTGATCTAATCCAACACGTGGAATAGTTTACATCAATAGCAGCAAGATGAGAGGGAGGATTTGTCACCTCCTCTGAAACTTTTCAAGTGCCCTAACAATCAGCTCTATATGGTTGGAGGACCAACCCAGAGCACAGTTGGGGTGGATCTGGGGAGATGTAGAGCAGAGTATCATAATATAAGCACAAGACTGCTTGTGTGATGCGATATTAAATTTCACCTTATGGACAAGGGCTTTGCAAGATGAGAGCTCAGCCTTTCAGTTTCATATTTTATTGAGGGATATAATCCAAGGCTCTTCATTTAAGCTTACGCAGTCCTCTGCTAAAGGAAAAACATGGGCTGCAGCAAACGAACTTGGGGGGGACAGAAGGCAGAGGGCAGCGGGTGCGGCTTTGAATTTCCTGCCCTTTCCGTCTTTTGTAGGTCGAAGCTCCGGCCACAAATCGAACTAAAATTTTGCGGCCGGAGCTTTTCATACCTCGAAATTTTCATAACTAGGGACCCTTTGTAAGTCGAAGGTCCATTGTATCTTACTTATTTTGAAAGACCTATTAGGGTTTCTATGTCGATTCTGACGTGACGGCACAGAACACACACACAAATCTTATCACAGGGGAAATCTTCCCCAAAACGTATTGCTTTTCTATACTTAATGTTCTGAGCTTTAATATTGCCTTTCAATGATGTAAACTGCCTCTTTGTACTCATTGTACTTGGGTTTAAATATTGCCTTTTACTGATGTAGACTCATGTTTATTGATGTAGACTCATGCCTTTATATACTCATTGTTTTCAACTTGCAATGTTGTCTTGCAAGGTTGTAAGCCACTTTCAGTCCTTTTCATGGAGAAAGACGGGGCAAAAATATTTTAAATAAATAAATAAACATTGCACCACAGGAAACCCAAAGGGTTTAGGGAGGAAATCACCTCATGATAGTGTTATCTGGACTTGTTGCCAGGGCCTGATATGGATTATTAATAAAATGGAAATGCTCTGGTATATCTTTTGGAGACATCTGATGAATACATTAATAAGCGTTGGGGGTGGGAAAGAAACAGATGTTATAAAATACAGACTGTTGCTGTCACTCGTGTTTCCTTTTCCCCTGAATTTTAATAGAGAATGAATGCAAAATAAACTGTTATTGAGTCATTATGGGCTGTTCTGTTGCATTTTAATTAACACATTCTTTCGCTAGAAATACTTTAATCATCAAAGCATATTTTCTCCTCTTTGCTTCTGGCAAACAGCAATTTGGATCACTGGACATTGTTTACCTCTATTATATAGGCTAATTGGCTAGGAATGTTTGTTCACTGGGGATTACTTTGGGAGAACGGGCTAGATTATAGGCCTACACTATTGTCAGAATTCTAATACCATGGAATTAAGGCCCTTCCATTTTACTGCCCTTCTCTTCTGCTGGGGCTTTCTCAGTGCAACACTATAATTAAACATGACATCTGTTCCTGTTTTCCAATAAGTTAACAAATTACAGACTCTGCCCCTTAATACTTAAAACTCAGCATTCAAACAGTCCCATGCATCCTTACTCAGAGGGAAGGTCCATTTTCTCTAGTGGAGGGCACTCTCCAATAAGTGCATTTGCGATTGCAGCTTCACTGTACAAAGGTGAGCGAAGGATAGATGCCTTTACCCTGAAACAATACTGTGCCTTTTAAGCCCTGCCAGTGTTATTTTATTTGCTAGTCATGTAGACAATGCGAATTGAGCCCCATGATGGGAAAATAAAACTGTTACACCCAAGTGATGAAACTGATCAATTTGGAAGCCCGGAGTTCCAAATCCCACACTTGCACGTGCTGAAAAACCCTTGCCACAATCTTATAACATTGTGTGTTTTACTGTGGTGCTGGCCCAGTGTTTTCTAGGCTCCAGGAAATAAATCTAGTTTCTGGCACTCTGAAACTAATTGGGGCCATTAATGGCCAAATCTCATTGCTTATTAATATCAGTAACACAACAGGGTACAGTTAATCACAGTTAATACAGCTTCTCTGTATCACTGCAGGATCACTGATTTATTGCAATATAACTTGTCTTTCTGTGCACAGCCTTATAAGAAATACTGTAATAGCGAGATGGATTACCAGACATCTTTAACCTTAAATAAATTACACGGAAAAAGGTAACAAACTTATCTTGTGCAAATGCAACTTCTTCACTATCTGATGAATACAGACAGAGTTTGCTTTATTGGAATAAAATGGAACATAATATTATGAAATATTATGTGGGATGGTAACCCATAATGAGATATGGTTTTTCTGTGCAGACAAGTTGCTCCCCACTTCCTTTTATGAACAGCTGAACAGGGCTACCAAAATTAGTTGAGGCCTCTTTCCTTTGTTCTAATGATATTTTCACTCAAACTGAACAGCTCTGTGCTGTTGGATTTGGCAGCATCCACTTGCATATACACTCCACGGCAGAACGGGGCAATCTCTCTCTCTCTCTCTCTCACACACACACACACACACACACAGAGAGAGAGAGAAAGAGAGAGAGAGAGAGAGAGAGAGATATTTTACCAGCAGTTCCAGGACAGTTCTGAATTAGCTCACCTGGAAATAAGCAGACATAAAGGTGTTATCCACTGCTAAAATAAGTCCTTCATGTTTATGGACAACTTTGGCACATGCTTGAATGTCAACAACTTTGAGCATGGGATTTGTGGGAGTTTCAATCCATACGAGCTGAGAAGACAAAAATGGAAAAGAGAAAGTTATAAAATGACATAAACCATATTATTTGACAACATCACCAAAAACATCATACATTCCTCCTTTTCCTTCCTCCAGCACTAAATTACAAATTTTAGGAAACACTAAATTGCAAATTTGAATCTGTCTTCCATGATACACACAGATTTTGTTATTTCATATGGGTTCTCACCAAAGGTCCCATGGAAATCGACTGCCAGACTTGTAATCCTATGAGGCTAAAGTTTCAGCATTGACCCCAGTCACTCAGATCTATGACTAGATCACACAGAATGAATTTATGGAAGGATGAAATTTTGGAATGCAGGACAGATGGCTAGTTCTGTAACCAATGGGAAGGAATGGTCCCTTGTTTGCTTCTAAATGTATGAGCAGCATCTTAAGTCTTCCCACATGAAAGTAGCTTTGATCAATCTTTGTGTCTGAAACCCTTCAAAGTATTACATCCCTTTAGCTGTACATCCAAAGAGAAGATCACTCATGTCCCTTTTTCATTGTCCTACCTATTGGTGTTGGATATTCCTCAACTGAATGGGAAAGCAGTTACCTACTCAAGGTTAGTGTCCACTGAATGATGAAGCCTTTTTGCTCATTTCTGTGGGAAGGCCACGGGAAGGAACACATCCTCTCTTGCCTTAACTGAAGAGCTCCAAAATGAAGGCACTAGCCTTAGATTGCTAGGACTGTCCCAGAAACCCTCTCTAGCCAGAATAACTAAACCCGATATGGTTGCACTGGAATGGGCAAGCCGCACCACTGGAGCCACACCATCGCTGATGGTCCTGGGGAGAGCCCCTTCTTCCCTTCCAGAAGACCCAAGTTACTTTTTATTTGTTGAGCTGTGCTCCATTAAAATATGTGAAAGAGGTGAAAAGTCGCTTTCATAAGATCTTTAATGGGAAATTTAAGTTACTGAAAGTCCCTTGCCTAGAGCACTCAGAGACCTTTGACAATACAA